AAATGTTTTTTTACTTTCGTAATAAATTTTTTTTAGTTAAAAAATAACAATTTTTCTAATAAAAAAATGCCCAGAACAGCAAAAAACATCCTTACAGAGAATCACCCATATATTATATATATATATATATATGAAAAATATATGAAAATGCATGTGGGTACTCAAATGAAAGTTCTTGATGAGTGTAACATCGGAAAGAGCTTATATCTTTAAAAACATCAATATTTAAGAAAGTACAGTGCAATTTAACAAAAGTAATTATTTAATATAGCAAAATTTTAATTTTTTATAGTTCACACGTCACGGCAGTCACATAGAGTGACTGCAAGGTTGCTAGTTTATTTTTTATAAGAATAAAAAAATTGATAATCAACTAACTTTATTGCTTTAAAAAATATTTAATATTAATTGTGGTATTTTATTTTTTTCCAGAGGATCGCTGGTTGAAAGATTGCAAACTCTTGTTTCGAGGAAGATATCTTCAATACGAATTTGGCGGCACCAGATGTCTCAAGATCATCTGAAGACCAATTCGCCGTGTGTTACTGTTCAGATAAATGAATGCACCTGGCGGTATAGCAGGTACATTATTGACGGAAAGATTATTAAAGATGATAATGATTTAATTGGTAGATCTGTTAGAGAAAATTCTTTGTTAGATAAAAGTGTGACTGTTGATGGTAGTAATAAAAATTTGTTAAGCTCGATTAAATTGTTGCTAGTTCCAGAGATAGTTGGTAAAATTAATTTTGAGGGTAAAAATATTATTAAAGTGTACCCACCGTGGGATATTGTTGACTTTAATCAGGTCTTTCTTAATATTTTTCATTTTATTGTCACTGTGGACTCTAATGTAACTAATCATGAAAATTTAGGGAGGAAAATGAAACTTGTAAAAGAATTTAAGTGTCCATGTTTAACAGAGAAGAAATTATCTGAAAGTTGTGGAGATAAATTTAAAAGTTCGAAAACTAATTTTATGCAATATTTATTCCAAAATTAATTATTTTGACTGTTAATTTTATAAATTACATATTTTTATATTGTTGATTATATAAAACTAAAAAGTTTTTTATATTTCACTTTTAATTTGTTATTTTATATAAATTTTGTTTAAAATTAATTATAAAATGTTAGTTTTATAAGAAATTATCATGATAATAATTTTCATTAAATTAAGTCAATAAAAAAATGTAAATATTTAATAATAAGTTTGTAAAATTCGTTGAAATATATTTATTAATTTAAAATTTATTTATAATTATTATAATTTTTTCTATTATTTATTTATTATTCTTAAATCAAAATTGTATTTTTTAAAAATTGGCGCCAGAAATTCAAAAAAAAGTTTCTGCGCATGCGCGAAAATCGAGATTTTTATTGGTCGTTGCGAATTGCGCTCGAGTTGGATGCTGGCTTCAGATCAGTTGCGAGTTTCGAGTGACAGTTACGTTAAAACTTAACAAATCTTGTGAATTATTAAATAATGACAGTTTTTAATTACATTTCAGTGTTAATATATAATAAATAACATAAATAGTGTTAAATATTGAGATTTAATAGTGATAAATAATTTAATAAAACAAAGTTTGTGTTCATAAAATTTTTATTTTGTTTTTAGTGATCAACAATTGAGTTTGACGAGTATTTTTGGCAGAAGTAAGTTAGAAAAACTTTTTATTTATTTATGTAATTATTGTTTTATAAATTTATTTTCCATTTTTGCGATAAAAATAATTATAATAATAAAATTTTCATTTGAATTAATGTCGGTCAAAGCGAGCGCGTTCGCGCAGTCGTTAGTAAGGCAAATTTTCGTGATTCCAACAGAACACATACATATAAAATATGACTCATATGTGTCTAAATCAGCTGACAGCTGACACAAGTGAATTACGTTCTAATCCTACAAAACAAATCAATTGTTTAGTGTTAATAAGTTATAAACTACAGAAGATTTTTTTTATTAATTTTAAAAACTGTCATTGCTTTTAAAAAGTAAGTAATAAAAATATTTATTTATTATTTCTCTTTACTGGGTAATTATCATAACCTTTATTTTTTATTTGAATTATATTTTGTTTTTATTAAAATGTTAGTCATTAATAATAATTAGCTTTACTGTAATTTTAAAATTATTTTATTTTATTTTAAAATTATTAGTTTTAAAATAAAAAATAAGAATGTTTACTTGTGTATTGATTGATTAACTTGACATTTTTTAGAAACAATGTCGATAGCACAAGATCGTCCAGAACTTAATGAAGAAGTTAAATTATACAAAAATGCAAGAGAAAGAGAAAAGTATGACAATCAAGCTGACTTGTATGCAGTTGTCAACACTTTACAGAACTTGGAAAAAGCTTACATTCGTGATTGTGTCACTCCCAAAGAATATACAGCAGCTTGCAGTAAACTACTGGTGCAATATCGAGCTGCTTTTAAACAGGTATAGGAATTAATTAATAAAATAGTAGACCTTAATTTAAAAATAGACCTTAAATTTAAAAGTAGAGAATTTTCTGAAAATAACAGCCACTTGATTTTTTTTTTTCAATTAAAATACATTATAAAGAAAATTAAAAAAATTAAGATGTAGAAAATTCGAAAAACCGTCAGTGCAATTTTGGACAAATTTATTTTCTTAATAATAATAAAAAAAAAATAATCGAATGCTTGCTGATTTCAGTATTATAAAAAATGTCTTAGATTAGATAAGGGTAGAAGCTAATTATTGATTTAGTAGCTTTCAATTAAGATGAAATTAATATTTTAATGTAAATTCTTGATAAATAATTTTAAAAAGATTTTTGAATTTTATTAAAAAAAATTTTTTTTTTATATTTGAGCTACTAAATCAGATACTTATAAGATAAAAGTCCCAGTTTTTAACACTTGCAATTTTATTTTAATTAAAAAAAAAGCAAACTCCAATAAATTAATAAATACAATTTGTGAATTATAAATTTTTGGATAATTGGTTTTTTGAGAATATTTTATTTTTTTGAATATAATAAAATTACAAGTGTCCAATAACTAGGCCAGTGTCAGTAACTGGATCTTTTACCTCATGTCCAGTTTGATTAGGAGCTTTAGGTATCTCACGACAGAGCTTAAGTTATTTATTTTATCAATAGAAACTAAATCCCCTAAAATTAACAATCACGTAGCAGGTTGTTAGTTTTAATTAATAAAATCAACAAATTACACTATACTCTGAGAAAACAAAATACTTTTACTCTATTAATAATTTCTTGGTTCAAAAAATTCGATGACGATCAAATATTCTATTATTAATTATTAATTTCTGAAGAGAAAAGCATCAATATAGGGCCCGTTTTTTAATTCGAGATAAAAGTACTGCCATTATGATGAAAAAATAAATAATTCAGCACAGTGATATTGCCTACGAGTAATTCTCCTTGAATTCAGTCACTTATTTTGAATTAAAATAAATAAACATTAGCCACATGTCACAGAAATATTCACCTCCAACTGTGACAACTTCCCGATTGTAAATAAATAAAATAAAAATTAGGAAAACGGATGACCCTGAAGGAGATCCCTGTTATTTTGAGCTTTATTAGCTCAAAGAGGTAGCTGCTCTATGCTTTTGAGACCTTCGAGCTCATATCTTGCTTTTGACATATCTATTATTAATTTATAATTGTGTTAATTAATTTAAAATAATTTAAATGACACAATAAGAGGTTACTATTATTTTTTGATACATTTATTTTTCTTTATTTAAATAAACGACCAAATTCATGGGGAACTAATTGAGAGCAACATCACGTCGCTGAATTATTCATTATTTTTTTTTTATTTTATTGGCGGTACTTTTATCTCGGATAAAATTTTATCCCAGATTGAAAAACTGGCCCTTATATTTGGATAATACATAAACAAGAGAATAGCTTTATTTAAATTAAGTAAAAATTATTTCAATTAATTTACCAAGTTCTTGAGCTAAGAATATATATTCTTGAAAATTTTCAAAAACATGAATTCTTGTATCAAGAAAATTTTTTTAATAAAAGTATTTTTTTTTCTCAGTGTGCAAATTTGTTCAGTACAAAAAACAATATTAACTATTATAATTTATAGGTGCAAAGTGATCAGTTTCCAACAATAGATGTCTTCGCAAAAACATATCGTCTAGATTGCCCAGCAGCGCTTGAGAGAATAAAAGAAGACAGACCAATTACAATAAAAGACGACAAAGGAAACACATCAAAGTGTATCGCTGATATTGTTTCTCTATTTATTACTCTGATGGACAAATTGCGCTTGGATATCAAAGCTATGGATGAACTCCATCCTGAACTGCGTGATCTTGTCGATACGATGAATCGCTTGAGTATTTTACCGAGTGATTTTGACGGAAGGCAGAGAGTCGCCGACTGGTTACAGACCTTGAACAATATGTCTGCTTCCGATGAATTGTCAGAATCGCAAGTGCGACAATTAATATTTGATCTTGAAACTTCCTATAATGCATTCACTAAAGTCTTACATAATTCTTAAGAATGAAAAAAAATTATTTTTTGTATTTTAAAATTATATTTTTAACCGATACTCAAAAAATTTTCTGTAATTACCAATCACAATTTAAAATATTGAAATACAGTGAATAGAAACAGTAATTATCAGTATTATTTTTATATAATTTGTAAGAGTACTTTGCTTTAAACTTGAGATAAAAATTTTTTATCTGCAAATTAATCTTGAAAAGAAACTTTCTTATAAATTCTTGATATACATTATTATTAAAAAATATTAATGGACGCTAAAAGTTACATTAGATTGCTTTAAATAAAAAACTTGTATCTGCTAACTTTTAAATTGCCCAATTAATAGTTAAATATGATCGTACTTGTTATAGAACTTTATTAAAAATTTGTTTCAATTTAAAAGTGTTTTAATATTTAAATTAATGTATGCAAAATATTGATTGTATTAATAACAAGTCAGTACATATTTAATGAACTAAAAAGTTTAATGCTTATTAATATTACATAACTTTTTGTTGAAAAAAAAATTTTTTTAACTATGACAATCACAATTTTTTTTAACAAGTTCTATAATTGAAGAGTTGAAGAGGTCGACTCAGTAGAATTTTTTTTAGCTTTAACTGTATCATATTCAGAACATAAGTATGTTTTTTATGAATATATACAATAAAGTTTTATTTAATATAATTAATTAAATTATTACTAAAAAAAAAGTCAAATTAATTTTATTTATCAACTAGCAACTTTGCAGACACTATGTGAACTATAAATAAATAAAATTTTGCTTTATTAAATAATGAAATGTTTTGTTAAATTGCACTGTACTTAAAAAACTATTTAAACTATTGACGTTTTTAAAGATATAAGCTCATCCCGATGTTACACTCATCAAGAGCTTTCATTTGAGTACCCACATGCATTTTGATATATTGCACATCTCATAAGCGAAGCGTTGAGGTTGTGCTCTACTCTCGACATTTCACAAAAAGCAGTTTTCTCGAAACTGAAATTGATTTTTGTTATATATATTGCACTTACAGGTTAATATGAGTACATTTATATCAAGTCAAATAATTTGTCAAGCGCATAATATATATTTCAATAACAATTTTTAGGTAGATTTAATAGAAATCAATCTTTTGCATTGGTCCTCATGTCGAAATTTACTCAGAATTTCGTCGTAGTATCTCTTAACTAGTCGAGTAAAGCTCAAAATTAACGTTAGTTAAAAAATTTATATACGTATGTAATATAACGCGGAATGTTGCCGTGATTGTGTCTACAGTTCTTGACGGATCTAGATGAAATTTGTTACACATATTCTTTGGATAATAACTTTGAATGAGTTCGAAGATGAGCGAAATCTATCAATAAGTTGAAAAATGGCAGCTCTTCAAAATGATCAAAATAGTAAAAATTACGTTTTTGACGACTTCATTTATGTATAACTTTTAATAGCAAAAATATAGCTGATTTTTGATTAATTAATGTGAAAGCTTATAAAATTCCTTCCAATTTGACGTACATAACGTTAATTTTTTGACAATTATTAGTTATTTTATTGGACTTAATAGTTCAATTAAACCATTTTTAGGCAAAGTGTAACACAATCTACTTATGTATGTTAAAATAAATTTCGAAAAAACGAAAGTTATTGAGGCAAGATAATGATTCATTCTATGAAATCTACCTTCAATTTCGGGTGTAGTCGAATGGCGTCTTTTTTTGTTTAACATAGTAAATAATAACATTAAACATAATCTTTTCTGGACGTCCGTGTATGGATGGGTGTATGTGGCAGGGAAATTGGTCGAAAAAATGATCGTACCGGAATAATTTTTTTTTTATTATCTAAAGTAACACACGACTGATTTTCTTAATTAATATGAGCTGAACGCCCATATTAGTATAGATAATTTAACGACAGTGAATTGAACATTCACTGTCGTTAAATTATCTATACTATCTATACTAATATTATAAAGAGGAAATATTTGATTGTTTGTTTGTTTGTTTGCATCGAATAGGCTCCGAAACTACTGAACCGATTTGAAAAATTCTTTCACTATTGAGAAGCTACACTATCCCCGGGTAACATAGGCTATATCACATCATAATTAATGTTAAAATTTTTGATAAATACCCGTGCGAAGCCGGGGCGGACTGCTAGTTATTTATAAAAAACTAATACATGACTGTGGATTTTTTTGTATATATATCTATACATATTATTGTAGTATTTTTTTTCCTCACCTTAGAGTTATGGTGTCACTAAACCATAGCAGAGTTTTCTGTTTTTTATTATTTTGCTTTTTATCTTCTATTTCAATCAATTTTATTGTGAAAAATGAGATTATAAGACGTGCACTTTTGGATTTTCCAAACTTTTTTTTCATATATACATATATATTTACTATATAAATATATGAAAAAATTGATGTGGGTACTTAAATGAAAGGTCATAATGAGTGTACCTAATAACTATTGGTGTTATTGTTCTTATTTTTGTTTTCAACTATTTATAATGTTATTTTTTTTTTTTAACTAATCTTTATAATAGTACCTGTTTTCCTATCTAATTCATACTCTTCCGCAGCTTTTTTTTGAACGTCTTAAATGTTCAAGAAGATCACGATTTTGCGGTTTTCTGCAGTGCGGACATATTATATTTTTGTGTTGTTACGTGTATTTTTAATGCAGATTCTGATTTGAATTTCTTCGGGCACAATAAGGACCGAGCGCTAACTGTAGAGGCAGCACATCAGTCAGAAATGGCGCGCCCTGGTGTTTAACAAAAGCACTAAATGGGCAAAAAGTATTACAATAGCTTATGTATTTTTTTACTAAACTAGAATTGAATTTTGCGCGCGCAAGCGCGCGCCTAACTATAGAGTTACATATATTTTCATGCTTATGATATATTCGACCAATCACGTTACGAATAGTTTGATGCCACATACATTTCATCTCTATTTTATATTAGGAATATTATGATATATTCGACCAATCACGTTACGAATAGTTTGATGCCACATACATTTCATCTCTAATTTATATTAGGATCAGAATTTGAATTTACGCGCGCAAGTGCGCGCTTTGACTATAGAGTTTGCATATATTTTCATGCTTATGATATATTCAACCAATCACGTTACGAATAGTTTGATGCCACATACATTTCATCTCAATTTTATATTAGGATAATAGAAAAAATAATAAAATATGCTTTTTGACCAGTATTAATCGGTCGTATTGGAAGCAAAAATAATTGAGAAAGTTAAAAAAAAACTTTAGGCCATGTATATTAAATGTGTTAAAAGAAATTCAACATTATTAAGTCAAATAGCCATGTAAACATAGCCTCCAAAGTTCAATTCCGCCTCTAAACACTTCGTATGCCTGTCATTTTTCTCTGGGATACCACTAGTACTGAGCGAAAAATAATAAAATTTCACAAGTTTGTCAATTTGACGGTTCCGACTTGATATATTTATGTATGTCGTGATATGTCAAAACTCTACAGTTAAAAAAATTTTAAACAATTTATTAATTTATTTAAATAAAAAATAAATTAATATTAAATCACATGTAAGAGTTTAAAATTTTTGCCCATTAGCTTACAATTTCTATCACCAGTTGGCGTGATAGTCTAGAGGCTTGGTCCCTATTTACATTTAAATACCAAATTGTGAAATTTTACCCGATGGCTCTCTAACTCTTTTTTAGTATAGAAATAAAATCCACAATCATTTTCCGGACAAAGCTGGACCTTACGCTTAGACTGGATGACTTTATAAATTTCTCTGTGGTCGCAAGATAATGCCACATTTTTTGACATTTCTTCTCCAGTATGTAATTCCTCACAACCATAATCTTTCTGCGTGTTTATATTAACTATATTCCATTGTGGCCCTGCGAAATTGCTTGATTCACCAATATTAAAACCTAAATTTAATATTTGATGAAATACACACTCTCTAATTACGATTATTTCACCTGCCTTCTGTAATTTTATTTCATATTGGATACAGTTCTTTTCTAGGAAATCCGGGGTTATGTAAATATTATTGTGCTCCCATGGAGCAGTACAACGTACATTACCATTTTCTTTGTAGAATTTTACAAGAACCTCTTTCAATTCCTTAGTACTAGTATGGTTAACGATTAACCATACACTGATAAACATTTTAACTTGACTCAAGAGTAAAAATCTTGAACCAAGAACACCAATTGGAAGAAAATGAATTTCTTGAGCCAAGAGGAAAAATTCTTGAGTCAAGATAGATTCTCTTGAATTAAGAAAATATATCTTGACTCAAGATATACTAATGAATATATTATTTAAAATACATGGTTCCATTTATAGAATAAAATTATAGTTTTCAATATAGACAATTTTGCCGCCATATATTCATCACTTATTTGAAATATATTGTATAATATATTTTTAACGATATATAGTATTTTCATGCGGGACTGGCCACAAAATTTTGCTTATTCTCTTAATAGTATAGATTATTTTCTGTCTAGCGTTTGACACTTTTGTTAGAGTTTTTAATTGAGTTAGCGAAAATGAAAAATAAAAAAAAATGGAAAGAAAACTAGTTTAGAGTTTGACTGGGGAGGTGGGGTAATACATATATTGGCTGATTTTACAGTAGCGATTAAAAGTTTGACAGTATCGTTAAGGTAGTGGCTCAGGTGGTGCCTGAATTGGATATACATTGGAGCACTTTAGAAGCTATAGACCCGTGTAGGAGTTTATCGTGTATCTGAAAACAGGAGATGTGTAGCAGGCTCCTCTCGCCGGTTAATTTGCGTCAGAAGTGCAGGAGGGGCCGGAGCAAGCCTTTGATGTTCCACGAGACGGACTTTTAGAATCGTATTTACGTGGTGGGTGCCCGGTATGCAAATTGTGCGGAGGGTTAGAGGTAAAGTGAACCAGTGAACGAAGTCCTGGCATTCGTTTCCGGCACCATTACCCACCGTCTAATACGAGCCACGAAATACAAT